GGGTCAGGATCTCACCTGGGAAATGACGTGTCCATGTGCTGTGTCCGTGCCGTGTCCATGCCATGTCCGTGCCATGTCCGTGCCGTGTCCCAGCGGATCGAGGGGCGCGTGGCAGCCCTGCAGAACGCCCTGGATGAGTTCTACAAAGCCAAGAACGACTTTGCTGCCAAGGTGAGAGTGCCCAGGTGCCACAGGGGACACCGGTGACAAAGAGGAAGGTCACCTGTCCCTGCCCTAGGGTGGGTGGACACCTGTCCAGGACAGGGACCCTGGGACTGGGATGGGGACACCAAGGCTGGGATGGGGACCCCAAGGGTGGGCTGGGGACACTGAGGCWGGTGCCATGTCCCAGGCCACTGAGGAGCAGATCAAGCTGCTGCGGCTCCAGCGGCACCTGCAGGAGGACCTGGACAAGCCCTACCTGGACCTGTCCCTGCACGACACCGTCTCCACCCTCATCCTGGAYGGGCACCACAAACGCGCCGAGCAGCTCTACCGGGACTTCAAGATCCCGGATAAGAGGTGGGGATGGGTTCTGGATGGGCTGGGGAAGCTCGGGGGGGGCTCTAGGGATCCCTCTGACCGCTGTCCCCAGGTACTGGTGGCTGAAGATCAACGCCCTGGCCACCCGTGGGGACTGGGAGGAGATGGAGAAGTTCTCCAAGAGCAAGAAGTCGCCCATCGGGTACCTGGTGAGAGCTTCTCCTGCTGGGGGGCAGCAGCCTCCTCTCCACTGTCCTTCCATCCTCTTCCTCCCCTCTCCAGCCCTGCCATCCTCATCCTTCCATCCCCTTCCTCTCCTCTCCAACCCTGCCATCCTCTTCCTCCCCATTCCTGTTCTACCATCCCCTTCCTCCCCTCTCCAGCCCTCCCATCCCCTTTCTCTCCATTCCCACTTAACCATCCTCTTCCTCCCCATTCCAGCTCTCCTCTCCTGTTCCTCTTCTCTCAGCCCTGCCATCCTCTTTCTTCCATCCTCTTCCTCCCCATTCCAGCTCTCCCATCCCTTTTAACCCCTCTTTAGCTCTCCCATCCTCTTCCTTCTCCAACCCTTCCATCCTCTTCCTCCCTCTCCATCTCTCACCATCCCCTTTCTCCTTCTCCAGCCATCCCATCCTCTTCCTCCCATCCTCTTCCTCCCCCCTCCATCTCTCCCATCCTCTTTCTTCCTCCTCCAGCCCTTCCATCCTCTCC